AGTACTTGGTGCTGCTGAAGTTGATGCTGCTGGAATTGTTGCATTTGGGCTTGCATTGCCCGCATGCATTGCATCAAGTCATCAAACTGGTTCTGGCTGGTCGCCAGGGGGACAACAGTTGGTTCGGTAAAGGTTGTTTCGACAGGGAGAGGAAAGGGGACGTTCATGGCGGGAAGGTTTACGGGCACCACTGTTCGTTGCGCATTCAGGCTGGGGATCCCATCCACCAGAAGGAGGATGGTGAACTGTCCGATGCACACCACGGGGACTTGAAGTTGTTCCCCGGTGATGTTCATCTCCGTGCCACGTCCGGCATTGCTAGAAGAAGCCATGAGTGTTGGGGTTTTTTGGAAAAAAGGGGTTATGAGAGTTTTAGAGGGTGGCTTTTAGAAGCGTTCCCACAGACGGCGCCAATTAATGGTGTGCAATCTGGCCGGTCCTAGCTGTCAACGATCTTGCCTTGGGCTGGAGCACAAGGTGCCTAAAACGGGGGAGAAAGCGAGGAATCTCCGGGGAAGAACCCGGTGAGAATGCTCCAAAGCTCAAGTTAGTGTTTCCTCAAAGGCAAGATAAAATCAGATGGCACAAAGTTATCACATACCTCGTTCTTGGGGGGTAGATAGCCTTTTATAACCACTTCGCGCACTCACTCCTAAGCTTCTGTCAGGTCGGATATGATTACCTTTGCGCTTCTGCCAGTTCGGGTGTCATCACCTCTGCTGGGGCAGAACCGCCACTGCTCTYTTTGTCGGAGCTGTCTCTGTAACTGAAGATGGCGGTGGCAGGTGGTCGTTGAAGTGTGGCTGTCAAGCGTCAGATCCCAAGTCAGTCAGGTGCGCCGCCCCTGGATACGGACTCCTTCGGTGTCAGGTACGGTGCGGTCAGTTCGGCGTCCTGGAGGCAAAGTGCTGGAGTGGTGTGCGAGGTGAAGTCTTGAGTTTGGATAGAGGTGTGGCCCTAACTGCCATGGAGCGGACCAGTTCGAGTTGCTGCCCTTTGTGTTTGTAAGGCTCGGGCTCCTTGTGGGGAGTTCGAACCGCGGGTTCCTCTTTTCGGAGCTCGCGCCTTGGGCGTACTGTTGTGTCGAGCTGCTGCCTTTCCACGTGTTGAGTGGTTACGAGGTCGGGCCAATTCTTCCTTCATCAATTTCTAAATCAAATCGAGCTCAAACCCAAACTTTTAACCTCATGCTTTTCTACAAGCTAAGCTCAAACTATCTAATATTCCACTTGACTCATACCCTCCCCTACCTATATGCTAATTACTTGTCATTGCAACATTTAGGCTATGTTTGGGAGTGCTTAAAAATAAGTGTTTATTTAGGCCATTAAGCACTTATTGATATGTGAGAAATAAACCCAAAATAAGTGATTATTTTAAAAATAAGGGCTTATTTTATAAGCCAAAATTTCCAGCTTTTTTAAGTGCTTATACAATAAGAACTTCAATTTTTGTCTTCCAAAATTATCCCTAGCTGAATTTTAAAATCACTTATAAAAATTATCCCTACTTGAATTTTATAATAATACTTTTATGAAAGCACTTTTATAAAAGTATTTCTATGAAAACACTTTTACAAAAGTACTTTTAAGAAAGTACTTTTATGAAAGCGCATTAATTGAAGTGCTTTTTTAAAATCACTTTTACGAAAGCACTTTTACAAAAGTAGTTATATTAACACTTTATAAAAGTACTTTTATAAAAGTGCTTTCATAAAAGTACTTTCATAAAAGTACTTTCACAAAAGTGCTTTTATAAGGATACTTTCTAAAAAGTGCTTACCTTTATAAAAGCACTTCTGTAAAAGTGATTTTTAAAAGTGCTTTCATAAAAAATATTTTTATAAAAATACTTCTACAAAAGTATTTTTATAAAAATAATTTAATAAAATTGCTTTCAATGGGTATATATTGAAAGAAAATGAGGACAAAATAATCAGTTAATCACATCCTTATTTAAGTGCTTGTTAGAGAAAAAGACTTATCAAACGCCCAATATAAAATAAGTGCTTATTTTAAAAAATAAGCATTGAAAAAACTGGGTGCCAAATACAAATACTTATTCAAATAAGCACTTGTTTTTAAACACTTATTTTTAAGTTAAATACTCCCAAACATGACTTAAAATGTTTTTTCGTATAAAATTGCATTAAGAAAAAATTGATGAAAATCTATACATTTATAATCAACACATTATATTCATGAAAACTTACTGTCACGTCTGTTTTGTACTTGCATGTTGCCATTGATGGGGGATAGGAGTGACATCTACTGAATATCAGGATTAATAACTTATTTATGGTTATATAAAAAGCCTATATTTATAATAACTATTATTGATATATTATTTTGACTTGTATTTGAGTTTTCCTAACGTACGGATACGGTGTGTCACTGCACGTCTCTTGCAATTGCGTTTACGACACTCTCACACAAGATCGCTTTAAAAATGGCGAGTCAAACGTAGAAACAACAACGAAGAAAAAGAAAAAGAAAAACCAAAGCAAAGAAAACAACAGTTGGGGGACCAATACAAGCACCAGTTGGGATGTTCTACGAGCCGACATGTAAAACAGGTTATGCAATTGCAACCAATCACGAGTGAACAAGTCAGTGTTCCATAACCCACAAGCAGTGCTCGCAGCAGATCCGTTGTCTCACAGCAAACGCACCCTCATCCATTCCAACTCTCTTTTAAAAATATAATAAAGATACGAGCAGCCAAAGAAACACCAAGTCCAGGCACAAGAACCAGAGTTACAGACGTTTAATCCCAACGACTGAATGCAGCAAAACACTGAAAAAGGCAAAACAGTGATGGGTTATATTTATACTCGCCCAAAGAAAAAAAAAATGGATTGAATAAGCAGCAACTGAATGCGTGGAGAGAGATAGTAAAGGTCTAGAAAGAGTCCGCTAAAACATTTCTCAGGCAGCACAACTGGAGAACTTAAAATGCAAATTCTATATATTAGATTGAATGCGGTGGACAACCAAATCTGGAAAGATCACAAAGAGAATGATTGGGTGGAGAATAGCGTTTGAATAATAACACAGTTGATAGATGATGGTGATCGATCCCCCTTCAATACCAAAGCATTTTAGTTTGGAAATTACAATAGTGACAGTGGTGTTCTCATCTCTAGAAAGCTCTTGCATGTCCTCCATGGCTCCTCTTCTTGTTCAATCATACATCCCTTCCTGCTCCCATACGTCTACAAGAAAATCTACCATTTCCTGGCAATAGGAGCCCAATCAATGTTGTAAGAGTTACATAATGTTATAAGATTAGATGAACTGCCATAAAGCGAATACAGACTTACAGAGAGTGATATAGGCTGGGGGAATGGCTTGTTTGTCCCGAGTAAACTGTCATAGGTCGCATTCCAACTGCAAAGCCACAAATGGTTGTACCATAAAAGAGATTGAAAGCATTGAACAAATGTGATAACAAGATTGTAAATAATCAACTGCTTTTATTGGTAATAATTAATTTTATTTGGCATTGACAAACACTAAGTTATGGTTTATTGATGTGGCAATTGTTTTAGAGTGTGTTTCCTAGGATTCCTGATACCCACACATCCCATAGTACAACCTGTAGACAATTAATGTTGACTTTTCTAGCTTATAACAGCTCTCCACTACCTCACACGGTGAAAACACCACAATGTAATCAGATAGGATCTACAAAAGACTTTTGGTCATTCATGAACATGATCCACCTATGGAACCAAATAAAGTAAATAAAAAAGATCAGCCAGATTAGTTTTCTTTTTTTTTAAATTTAATTTTTGATAACTAAAAAGTAAACTTCAAACTATACACATTTAGTTACCCCGTACTTAGTATGGGGAAGCAAGTAGAAAGGTTCTGCCTATTGATCAAAAAAGAAAGGTTATGCCTTTCCTTATACAGAACAACACTGTCCCAACTAAAATGGTTTGTGCAAGAAGATTAAACTTAATGTAGATAAATATGAGAAAAGTGAGAGATTCACACCTCAATCTGGGTTCTCGAAACTGTTGTGTCTTGTTCTCAGACTTTCCAACCCATTGCTGCCTTGTTTGAGTCCACAGAAGAAAACCTGGAAAAGACGAATAAAATGGAAAATTGCATTAATTAATTAATGGAAAATTGCATTAATTAAGAACAAAGGAAACAAGAAAATGGTGTTAGAGATTATTGATTGCCCTCACAACCAGTATAATACCATAGGTAAAGAAGAACCAGGAATGCCAAATGCATTATCTCCCTTAGAACAATGGGGGAAAAAGCCATGCTAGTTGGATTTCCAAAGCCATCCAGATTGTTAAATTAATGGAACAATTGGGCAGCCACATATCCATGTTGAGATCCATGGCCTATGAATATCATCAAATGGAAGATCAAAGATTGCATACAGCATTGAAGAATGAATCAGAAGAAACTTGCCATGATTTATGAACTCAGGAGGGTTGCTAGTGCTGCCAACTCCACCATGGGGATCAAAGGCTTGATTTAAAGTGCTGATTGATGAGATGCTTCTCTGAGATTGAACTGCACTGTTGTCCATCTCACATGTGCTGGTGCTCCAAAAATCCTCTGATATGCTGGGTTTATTCACAGTACGGCCTTGAATTCTCAGTCCCTTTGATGGCTCGTCCACAGCGATGATCGGTGTGGGCTTAGTACAGCATCCAAGACAACCTCTGCTCTGTTACAAATCAGGTTTAACCACATAAATGATTAGCACCAGCCATCAAACATCAATCCTTCTTATAAGTGAAAAAGGCTCTTAATAATGTTTATATACAGCATTGATGTGTTCTTTACCCAGTGCTAAGGTAACGCCTTCAGGAAGCACAATTAAGTTTTGCAATGTCAATGTTTATATACAGCAAAATTACAAGGGAAATGGACACATTTCTGAAGCGTTCTGATTGTTATTATCTTAGAAACAATTAATTCATCCCATACAAAAAGCAGAGATTAGTACCTAATTCACAGAGAGAACAAACTAGCATATTTCAAACCCCGATAGTAGAGGTCTTAATTTGTCACAGTGGAAAGGGAAAAATATCAGGTGGAATGAGAGTGATAACCAAACTTTTAATAACGACCCATGATTGAAGCAAGTGCTAAACAGAAGGAGGACTGCATTAACATCCAGCATCTGGGTTGATGGAACATATGACAATCAGCAAGCATAACATTTCCAAGTGTATGCAAACAGAATCCCCCATTGCCTATCTGCATACATGCATTAGTTCTAATACATGAAACTTCCAAAGGGACCCCCAATCAAGTTTATCAAACTGGTATCCAAGTACTTTATACTTGGCATGATTAGTCATAAATTGGCAGAAATGAAATTGATACGGATTTAATAATTCCACACAGTGGTGTCAGATGAATGTGCCAAAAGAAATCAATATAAATAGGACTTTCATTATCAACTCAAAATGAAAATCACCATCACAAGAAATTTTCATTTTGGAACTAATACATGTAAAATCTTCCTTGAATGGATAAATTGTTAACTCAAAATACTGCAAGAATCTTGATACCACAAAACACAAAGTGGCTTTGACACTTTGTTTTCCATTTAGTTATGCTATTTTGGATTTACTAGAAAGTGAGCAAACTACAGACATGATAAAAATACAATAAGTGCACATGCAGAGTAGCCAGAGAGATGATCAAGTCAATCATAACCATAAGTCCTTAATCTTGAATATTGTATGCACAAGATCTTTTTCCCATAATTGGTTCCATTTTTTATTGGTGCCAGAATTGGCTTTATCCTCGTTATCATGAACAATATTCTCCAAGGGTTGTCCCCATAATTGGGCTTCAGATACAGAGATCATCCGTTGTAAGACAATATACCTCAAAATAACTTGTCACTACCTTGACTTACATCCTTCCATCCTTCCCCTTCCCATGTTAGAGGTTTCAACTTGAAACCACAAACTCCTGATTCAGTGTTCTCCATACCCCATAGTCTTGCTGGTACATACCAAACCATCCCAATCAAGTTAAAAACCGTTGAACAACCCCAATGTTGTTTTGGATGTAACCAATTAAAAATCTACCTTAACTGGATTGGTCACTGGACATTATCCCCACCCCTACCACTTCTTCTTTCTAATCTGGATGGTTTTGTATATAGAAATAAGTGCTCGATGATGAGAATTGCTACCATATAACAATTCCACATAAAAGACGAAATAATAGCATAAACTTGAAGAAGATTTTAATGGCAGCTATATAGATTATCTTCAAGGTCATTGTCAGAAAATGAAAGCGAAAAAAAAGCAAATAAAAGAGAAAATGAAACCACGAGATTCAGCTTTCTCTCTTACACTGAACAAAGCCCTCAATGTTTCCTTAAGCTTCTCCATCACAACCGCTTCAGAGCACGCAAGTAACAAGGAGCCCAAAAACCAAGAGTATAACCCTCCACAAGTACAAATCTTCGCCATGTGCATCAGAAAACAGTACTTCAATTCAAAAAAATCCAATCCATTTTGGACAGAAAAGCAAGTTCCACTAAAGGAATAATTTTCCCAAACCTCAAGAAAGGAATGCAAATTAAAAAACAATAGAAAAGCCACAAAAGGTTAACGTTTTCTAATAAATCGTTCAAGGTAGCTTAACAAACAAGCATAATGAGATTCTACTACACGATAAGCATAAGTCAGCTACAGTAACACAGAGCATCACTACAAACGAATAACAAAATTTGAAGCACAAAGGTTTAATATAAAACATAAAGCATGTTCTAAACCAACCATTGAGTCTACGAAAAATTCTCGATCTACGATGGAAATCGATTACTTACCCCATGCATGCGAGAATCTGACTGATCCAAGATGTAATAGATCTACTTAGTAGCATTTATACTAAATCCTTTGTCAAACCTCAGATCCTCTCGTCGAAACATCGAATCCAAGAAGGAAAGAAGTGAAGGCCCTGAGATGAGAAACAGAAACAGACTACTCTGAGTTTCATCCATCAATAAATAGAGCAAGCGCGCATAACAACCATTAAATGAAAATACAATTAGGAAAGCCCTAGTTTTCTACCAGGATTCCACGAATCCAAACAACAGACCTCTGTAACTCCATCTTCGTTTTGGTCCTCTCTCTCTCTCTCTCTCTCTTTGTCTTTTTCTCTATCCCTCCTGATTTCGATAGCCCTCTGGTCTGGTTAATACAAACCAAAAGGCTCCTTCTTTCTTCCCCTGCTAATTATCAGAATAAAAAAAAAATGAAAATTAATATTAAAGATTAAAGAGATAAAAAGCTTAATAAGGTAATAATAATAACGTCCACGTTGGCCCACTGTCCAGAGATTTGGACCGTCCAATTCCAGAAGGGGCACGGGCACCGTCTTTTCCTAGTGGGCCCAGCCCACATAACCAAGATTCCGATCTCAGTTGATTATTTAGGAATTAGGATGGGCTTTCTGGGCTGTTTCCAGGATAAGGAAAAAACCGGTTTCTGACAAACGTGGACTTATCCAATTTAGGGTCAAGAAGTCTCGGATTACGTTTACCCACTTGGGAATTGGGATAAAGTTGGTAGGGCACGTGTCAGTTGCTGAAAGGATGAGGGACCTCCGTCGATTGGGTTCCTCTCAAGAGTCAAGAGATTAACAAGGCCGTGGGCCCGTGGCCCATGATCACTATCTCTAGTTGAATAGTCCGTTCCTATCCACATCCAGTAGTGGGTAATGATCGGTTAGATTATCGGCAAAAGGTGGAATAGGTTTCAAGTACAATGAGAACCATATAATTGGGATCTGAATCCTGTGAAGTGTTGAACAAATGAACGGCCCAGATCACACAGTTGCGGTGGCTTGTAAGCTACCTGATGCTTTCTCACAAAAGAGAAGAGCAACAAAGGAAGGTAGGATTGGTAGATGTATAGATGTAGTATGTATGTATGTATACCCCTTGAAGCTATGATTTTAATTCCAGAATAGATGGTTGATACTATTCCATTTTCTCGTTCTTGGGTTAATGGGTTCCCACTTCTGGTCTCTGTATAGTTTTTCTTTTTAAATTTTTCCGGGTAAGCAGTTTGTGTTTGACTTGTTTGTTATTGGTTCCCTTTTGGTTCATTTCATTGAACCACCATATCTATATGGTATCTTTTTCAATCAAGGGGTACCTACCTACCTTGGGCTGGGCCACAGTTTCATTCAAATTGACCACAGCCAAGTCACTGATGGGCTGGAACAGTGTCTCAGGCCCGCGTGCTTGGTTGCTCTCTTTTGGTTGGTTTCCTGCTGAGCTCTTGTTGGGTATAAACAAGAGGGAATAATATAAGACTGGGCAATTCAAAAGATAGATATCTCATGAATTGAGAGAGAGAGAGGATTCATCATTTGTGGGGCCACTATATAAATTTTTGGGAAATAAATTGAGGTCCAGCTCCTATCAGTCCTAGGTATATAAAATAAGGGCATCTTCAAAACTTTGCTCCGTTTCTGGGTCCACGCAAAACTATGTTTTGCAATTTGCAGAGATGTAAGGATTACAGAGGAAGTTGGGGAACAGTGTTGTCAAAAATTTACAGAGAAATTGAGCAATAAAAAGGAAAGAAAGTAGTGGCAAAAACGCCAAAAATCAATATGGCTAGTTTAGATTACTATATAGAACAATTGTATCTAGATTAGTGTGAAGAAAAGTCAAGTATCGTAGGAACCAAGCTCATGTTACAAACTTACAATAGTCAACGTTTAGCATGGCTTGAGTTTGTACTCTTGCCTCATCAGATTCTGGTTTATAATTTCCCACAGAAAATTCCTTGATTCTTTGTTCTGTATACTGACAAAAGAAAAGCCAGATCTTTCCCCAGCTATAAAATCAGTGATGACACTTGTTTTTGTAGGAGAAGAGATGACAGACCTTCTGGCCACCTAGTATCTGTTTGGACGATCTACATAAAAATGTCCATGAGAATAACGTATAACAATCAATAGAATATTTTATAGTTGGGACATAATTCAGCTTCATCCTAGGACAACAGAATTAGGAAATTGGAATATAATTTCACAGAGAATGGTGGAATGCTATTACACTGGCCCCGTTTGGTTTTCGGGGTCTGGAGTCAGAATCAGAATGGGCTATTTCAATTCTCTAACTGTTTGGTTAGACAGAATTAGAATCTTATTCTTATTCTTGTTGGAGTGGCATTTCCCCATTTGAGGGAATGGTCATTCCCTGCCCCTCCCTTGAGAATGAAATCTCATTTCTGTTGATTTTAATTTTTATTTTTATTTTCATTCCTATATGAACCAAACAGGCTATAGAATAGACCATTCTGATTCTAATTCAAAAGGATTTTGATTTCGACTCTAACTGTGAACCAAACAGACCCTAAGAATAGAAATGGGATATGGATTCCACCAGTCAAACGGTTGGAATCGAAATGGACCATTTTGATTCTGATTCCAATTCCAGACTCCTACTCCCATGGATCAAACGGACCCTAATTAACTAAAAGCTTGGCTTAAATCGTTATTATCAACAAAAAATATCAATAGAAAGCTAAAGTTTTCCTGCTCCATCCCAGCCATCATCATGGATAGATGCAGTTAAATCGGATACAAAAAAGACCCTTTCCCTTGGGCTGTGTTTGGTTACAATGCAAATAAATTTGCACTGATGCAAAACCATCGCAGTGTAAACGATTTAAGTGTAAATTCTGATTTATTTTTGTTTCAAATTTTAGCTTATTTTATTTAACTATAGTACAAATGAAGTAAACTAACATATGAAGTGAAATAAAGTATAAGCCAAAATAAAATTAAACAAGAATTTGCATTTTTTTTCATTTGCGCTCCCATGCATTTATATTAATGCAAATATAATTACACTGCAACCAAACACAGCCATGATAACACTTCCTGATCCCTCTACAACACCAGATAATAATGTAAACATCCAGATGTTGTTGACTCACTTCTTGGCTGGCGTATTAACAGTATTCATATTGATTAGCTATTAAAAAATTATTAATCAACTAGATGGAACTCTCAATAGATTGCTTCTGTTAAGGGAAACCACAGTCATAAGGGAAAAGAGACAAAGACCCATCTCTCTCCTACAATGCTTGAGGATAAATTATCCTTTAAGCCTGGAGATAATAGAGATATTCATAGCTGGTAAATAGATTATGGGGTCTCCATCTGAAAGCACATAAGTCCCTTCATCATCACATTGGAGAGGCAAGGCTGTTAGCAACTAGAATGAACAATTTAGTTCATCTTGGATTCCAAGGTCGATTAACCCCCTAACACAGAGCTTTTCAACGGAAGGGGGTAAGTGGGTAAAAGACTCTTGGTAGTTTGTATTGGGAAACTTGCTAGATTAGTTCATGTTTAGACAATTACGTTTTCAGGTCAACCTGGGTGTTGTTTTTACTTGTATGATCATTTCTCTCGGATCTTAAAATGGAAAGCTTTCTACAAATTTATATTGCTTTTTGTGTTTGATCAACTAGAAAATACATATTTGTGTGAGAAACATCAAATTTGGTATTTTAAGTGGAAATAGCAATTCGCATTGATCAACTCAAAACGTTTTCAAAACATTTCAAGTAAAAAAATCTCTCTCACACAAATTTGTATTTGTATTGATCAATCCAAAACAAAATGGCAACGCAACGCCACTGTACCGAATACCTCATTTATTGTTTTTTCTGATTGAACCCGAAAAGAAAATTCATATTATCAACTATCTTTATACTTTTATTTGCACTAGCACAAATGCATGAGTGGCAAATGAGAAGAATACAAAATTTGGTTTGCTTTTGCTTTAGGTTTTATTCTATTTTGCTTCAGGTTTCATTTTGCTTCATCTACACTCACATACTTGTGCACCAGTGCAAATGTAAATTACACAGAAAATAAACAAAGCCCAGAAACGTGAATAAAAACTTTGAAGCAGAAGAGAAGTTGGTTTGAAGAATGTACTCAATGGCTGTGAATGTTAGAATACTAGATCCAGCAATTATTCGACTCTATTTGCAATTATCTGGCATGGCCCAACAATTGAATGGGCTATATTTAATATTGGTTCATAAAATACAGAGAGGGGGGCTGCTAGTCAGTAGGGGTTTCAATGAACTAGTTTTGGGTTGGACCTCATCCAAACCAAAATCAATTTGGATGGACTGGATGGACCAATAAAACACATTGAATTAAACAAATTCAGGTTTAATGGTCCAAAGTATTTATTGGATTGAATTGGACCTGATCCAGCTGTATTAAATTTATATTAGATTGGGTTGGATTGAGCCAATATCTGGTCCATTGATATGAAATAAAAATATGGCTATGGGTGTCAATGGACCAGGTTTAGATTGGAATTAATCTAAATTAAAGCAAATTTAAACAAACTGGACAGTTCAGACATTGAATTGGAACAATCCAAAATATTTATGTTTTCATGAGTCCATTTACGTTACACTGGATCAGATTGAACCAAATCCCCTCCTAATCAGAATCTCTTGAATTTAGTATTAAGATATCAAACTTTTAAGGTAACAGCAGAGGACTGATGAAAACCTGTGGCAATCAATCAGATGTTCCTTTGTAGAAAGTTTGGTTGCCCAAATCACCCCCTCCACGTGGCACAATAATTTAGGGTTGCTCGTGTGGCCTTTCTGGGCCGAGCTTAACACAAAATTCCAAACCCAGTTTCTTCTCAAAGAACCCACATATGATTCTGTTTGTGGCAGATCCAGACATTCGACCAGATAAAGGACCCTCTGGTTCTACCATGTCTTCACTCTTCCATTTCAACTCAGCCCCATTGACCTCCCCCTCCCCCGCTCCACCAACAAGGAGTTTTTCAAAATTAATAACAACTCAATCCAGTTAAACTAACTTACAAATAAATAAATAAATAAAATCTCAAAGCCTTGTCCCAATTATGTGGGGTCAGCAACAGGTCCTTAAATCATTTGTGACAACTTCAATTATATCCTTTCTAATCTGATCCGATTGTTCAGCATCTTTCAATTTATAATAGATCAGTTCGGTTTATCATGCATCAGAATTAGTTCTAGGTTTCCCTATTTTATACAACATTACTGCCCCCATAATCAATTTATAAAGCATTCTTTGGGCATAAAGGGTATTTTCCCAACACAAAGGACTTTGGTTGCACCCTTCAAATCACTAAGAGCCACCCAGTGCAATTTTATTTGCACTAGTACAAATGTATGGGA